ACCTAAGCCCTATTAGCATGTAGGCATTTTTTTGTTTTGGTGAAACACTTCCTTATATACAGAAAATTGTAAAATAAGTGCCTGACATTTCAGTTAAAAAGAATAGGAAGACACATCATAGACAAAAATTGAGAAATTGACATATTTTTATTAACCATCAGGCAAACTATTTACAATAACTCTTAAACATATGATTGTATTAATTATAATTGTATTTAGCTGCATTCTGGACTTGGATTCATGCATCAAAAAACTTATTAAAACTTAATTTAAAAAACTATTTATCTGCAAAATCTATTATTTAGCATGTAATTTGCATATACTTGCATTATGTTGATTTCTACTAAATTCAATAAAATGAAATGGAAAAACATTTGCAAGATTGCAACCTGTGAAAAATTTTGATTAAAAAAAATAGCATAAGGGAAAGTAATTTGTCAGTTAGAAAGCTAAAGGGGTAATTCTTCAGGTCATTGGCAGGACAATAACCTCTGAAGCTGCAAAGCCCAGTTCAGTCTCCAACAGTGACTTTTTCTAATAACGAATTAATTGTATGTGTGAACTCTGATCCAAGGGCAGGCGTGTGACCTCTTCACACTGATAAGTAGCTTCTCTTTGGCCCAGAACAATCCCCTTCCCTAAAAGGTTACATTGATAGCTAACATGTGGTGTTTTTGAGTCATAAAGCTCTGGATAAGATTCCAGGAAGTTAAAAATATAGAATCTCAAAATACACTAATCCATACAGCAATAATTTTAACATAGAAAGTTTAATTTGGATAAGAAAATAATGCTGCACAATCTGTTAATTTTCTAGCATTAATGCCTTCTGGAAAGATTCTGCTAAATGTTTCATCATATTAAACAATAAAATGGGAGATACTTTTTCAACTCTTAATGAAGAAATAGGTTCTCATAATCTAATTTTAAATATCTTTTAAAACATACCAGAGCGAGGAAAAACATATTTGCAGCCTTTAAAAAGAATGTTTTGATGAATATTAAAACAAATAAATTTACTATTACATGGTATTATTTATTCTGCTGTTGAAATGTTAATTAGGGAACCAGGATATCATTGAATAAGTAAAACATATGTTGTGCATATCTAAGATCTCTGTTGCGTGTAGGCTAAAAAGGATTTTGATGTAAAATACTACATACCTGTTGCTAAAGAAATAAGAAGAAAGAGGTAAGAAAATAGTAACCTACATTCAGCAAGGGAACTGCTTTAGTATAAAGATTAATCTGTGTTCCATTATTGTTTTGAATATATATTGATTATATGGAAATATTTTCCATCTGCTTATTCATATATTGTATTAGGATAGTTGGATTTATCACTTTATTTCAAGTGGAACTATTGATTTCAATTATCAAAAATATGTGTATTAGAAAATAAATTGGAGAAACATAATTGCTTATAACAATAGAAATAGGTCTGTCAGTTCTAGTTTAGGTGCATGCATCCACATTATTAAATTATTTTATACAGGAATTCCTATAAATAGCCAATTAAATTTTTACCTAACCCCTGTGTTCTCCCATATTTCATATAATTTTGTAGTTTTATATGTTATATAATTTCTATAAACCAGAGTTATGTTTATTTAAATATGGATATGATTGTACTAAGAACTATCAGGGAACTTGGGGATGTTCTATAGAGAAGGTGTACAAAATATCTGTAGACCCACGTTTCCTAACCATACCTCTTCAATGGGCTCAGTAATTGAGAAAAAACTGAGAGTGTTTATCTTTTTAGACAGTTAAGGAACAAGCTGGTTACTTTATATCTTGCAAGTACAACAATCCAAGGGAATTCCCCTTGGATTGTTTAATATTGCTTACCATTTCAGCTCCCCAAACAGAAAATGCAACTACAGAAACAACATTTTATTGAAGTATTCTGTGTGTTTGCTGTAGTTATTACATGGTGTTTTTTTTAAAAAAAAACTACATAAGAATTTCACCTTAGATTTCTTTTTTAAATGGCAACTCCTCTAAGATCAGGAAGATGGGATGTAGATGAAGAAAACCTTTTTAAAGGTCTTTAACATAGGCCACATATGCTCTGTATAGAGAATAAACATCCAATCATCAGTCTATGGTCAAAACTGGTGGGAGAATCTGATTTGGCAGTTTAAATCATGTCAGATGGGAATGAAATAAAGTTCTATATACCAAGTCAAATAATTGCCCATCTTATTATCATTTTTGTTGAAAGGCTAAACAGTAGTATTCCAGGATTCCCATCATGAATATTTCAACACCCTTCATAGGCATGCTAGGGATTGGACTTGGGATATTTTGAATCAGTATGTGCTTTACCATGGAGCCACATCCCTTGCCTAAGGATGCATGTAATAATTAATCTGAATTCTTCCCGGCCCGGAATATTCTCATTGGGCCAGTGGTTGGTTCCTGCCAGTTCTAACATCTTCTATAAAAGAGGTTCCACAAATATACAGTGCCTTTAAAACTGGTCCTAGCTCCCTCCCCCCTCCCGTCCACACATCATCAAGATGAAGAGTGAGAGGAGGAATTCTGGGAGTTGAAGTCTACAAGTCTTAAAACTGTCAAGTTTGAACATCCCTGGGAGTTTTTTTCTAAAGAGTTAGGGATGCAAGGGTCTTGTAACTTGATAGCTTTAAGACTTGCATACTTCAATGCCAGAGTTCCTGAGCCAATATGACTGGAGGAGGAATTCTGGGAATTGAAGTCCACAAGTCTTAAAGCTGCCAAGTTTGAACATCCCTGGGGTTTTTTTTCTAAAGGGTTAGGGGTGCAAGGGTCTTGTAACTTGACAGCTTTAAGACTTGCGTGCTTCAAATGCCAGAGTTTCTGAGCCAACATTTTGGTTGCTAAGTAAGAGCATTGTTAAGTAAGTTTCACCACATTTTACAAGTTGGCCATGCCCACCCAGTCACATGACTGCCAAGCCACTCCCACCCAGTCACACAGCCAGAAAGCCACTCCCACCCAGTCACATGGCTGGCAAGCCACTCCCACAAAGCAGGCCACGCCTACAGAAGAGGTTCTTTAAAAACTTTGAAATCCACCACTGCATTGGGCCTGACATTTTGTGGCTTTTTCTGATCTCTATTATTCAAGAAAACAAAATGTATAGCTCATTTTACCATTCACAAGTTGTGTGACATTTTCTGAACCAACTGACCACAGAGAATAACCATTCATTCCACTGGATATTGCTATGCTGCTATTTACACCATTTCAGAATAGCTATTATGATACATTACTGGCAGGAAATTATATATTTTTTAATTAAACACATACTAATTGGATAGTACCAAGTATATTTTTGATGATAAAAATGATTTTAAAGATATACTTTAGTGACACATGCAAGCTTTAAAGATTACTTTTAAATATATTTCTAAATCTTGGCATTTAAAGATACATTAAATAATATATGTAAAAGTATATACATAAATTATTGTGAAATATAAAGAAAAATAGATTAAAATTATTATACAATGTATTGAGTAAAGAACAGTTCACAAGCTAATCTACTACTTGCATGTTTCCAACATCTATAAAATATAAACATTATTTCACACAGAATTATTATTGTCATGTTCCAGCATATAATTTGTGTATATATTGTCATTGTTTCTTTTTTATTTTCATGTGCACATGACTAAAAATATTTTACACTGCTGCATGTTTTCAGTATGATTCTAATAGATGAGTTATATAGACAATTTCTTTATGATGTCAATGATACGTTTAGTCTCCAAACAAACTCTATAGGAAGGTTATGTTTTGGAATAACATCCTGTGTTTTTGTGCTGTTCAATTCTTTACTGATGGTCTGAGGTTGCATTGTATTAACTCTAGGTATTTTCCAACGTTAATTGATATCCCAGGTTTGTCCAGAGGAAAATCTACAGCTCTACACAACATGCTTGACAAGTTATTATATTTATTTTAGTCAAAGCTTGAGTGCACAGGATCCCTCATAGAGGTGGTCTATTATTGGAGTGCCATATGCTTTTTGTTTGGGAAGAAAGCAGTCCCTGTGTCATACTGTTACAGAGGGTATTCTTTTTCAAGGATGTTGTTCCCTTGAGGACCATATCATGCCAGAGTTCCAAAGTCCAGTAAGACCTTTTGCAGCTCTTATTGTGTAAAAAAAAATCTGGGAAGGAGGGAAGAGTTAAACAATAACAAAAAAAAAAGGTAATTTTAGAAGGTATAGTAGGCCACATGTTGAAGAACATGAATTTCAGAGAAGGAAAGGGCAAAATTAACATTTTTATTAAGAGCTTGCAATAAGTGTCAGAAAAGCATGCCCAGAAAAGCACGTTTCACTCTGCTGTAGAGTGACTAACTACTTAGAAATTGTTTACATATAGTAAATATCGTGTTAAGTCATTAAAGGGCATGTTATATTGTCTTCGTATTATATTATAGGAAGCAAAATAGTAATACTTTAGCTAATTTCAATATTTTGGATTATATCCAAAATTAAGAAGCCGTACACCTTATAAACCCTATGGAAAGAACTGGAACCAAATAACCAATGCACAATATATAAGCTTAGATAAATAGTGTTACCATTACAGATGAAGAAGAGAAAGTGGCAATTCCCAGCTAATGTCGGAACTGCAGTATTTATTATTCCCCAGCCACATTCCGCACACAAGGTGCCAACAAAATACTTGACAACTCTGTTAGGTTTTGCTTTTCCATGAAAGCAGAATGAACAAAAAGTAATGAGAAGATTAACTTATTAAGCTATCACAGTCCAGATATATTGGCAATTAACTCTGAATTTCAAGTAGGCTGTGGATTAATTCACCATTCTATGTTCCAATGGCTTGAAATTACTACCCGTAATTGTGAAATTGTGTTCTAAGAATTGTAATACAAAGTTTTTCATTATCAGAATACCACTAGTGTGAAAGAGGAAACTTTTTTTCTTGTTTGTCCAACAAGAGCCAAACACAATCTTCTCTTTTAAAAAATTTCCATAGGTTCCACAACACTGCATTCTCATCAATGAAGAATCAATGAACCTTTTGAATCTCTATGCATCTCCTTCTTTACCTAACATCACTTTGGGACTTCCGGCAGTACAACCACCACTCACAGTAAGTGATTGGTTTAGGAGTACTTTTGCTGACTTTAGTTGAGATGTCTTAGAATACTCTCAAGTTGTTATTCAAGGCAGGGTTAAAATAATATAGAATGGTTTCAAAGAAATCATAGAAATTATACACTGTTAAAATAGTCTTTATTTTACATTTTCCCTCAATAATTTTGTTGTTATTTCAAGTAAAGAAACAAATTATCATAGATCTAATAATTTTCAACTTATGTATATGCCAAGGCAATTTAATTCTTTTGACTCCCACTTTTTGTATTTATCTTTTACCAGCTTCTTTGTCTGACAAGGAGCAAATCTGGAAAATTGTATAGTATTGTATTGTATTGTATTGTATTTGGTTTATTTGTATGCCGCCCTTCTCCAGGAGGGACTCAGGGCGGCGAACAACTCAAAGGGGAAAGGGAACATAAACAATAGTACACATAATTAAAATACACGAAAATCACACAGCCATACCAGTCGAGTGGGGAGGGGAACTCATCAACCCCAGGCCTCCTGGCACAGCCAAGTTTTGATGGCTTTCTGGAAGGCCTGGAGAGAGGTGAGGGTCCGGATCTCCGTGGGGAGTTCATTCCAAAGGGCCGGAGCTGCTACAGAGAAGGCCCTTCCCCGGGTAGTAGCCAGATGGCATTGGCTGGTTGATACAGATATGAAATGCTAAATGACAAGAAGGGCTGAAGATGCCTCATTTACGTGCCATATCTCTATATTAAACATTATCTTGTGCCATGAGAATAATAAAGTTTTTAAAACTTCTTTGTTCAGTTTTTAAATGTGTAATTTGAAAGTGTTCTTTTTTAATATTTTCTTCATTTGCTCTGTAGGTATCATCACCATTTGCAGAAAAGCAAAATAATGAGATGCAGTCAATCAAGCAAGGAGTAGCCATATCTAGTCAGCCCAGGGGGACTATCAGTTCACTTTCAAGTCCTCCGCCCATTGTTCCCATTGTTCCCATTGTTCCAGAGGGGAGGCCAAACTATAGCCATCAGGCTATCTTGCAACATTTGCTATTGAAGGAGAAAATGAGGCAGCAAAAACTTCTACCCACAGGTAATTATGAATTAATTATTGGAAAAAGACTTTATTTTTAACCAAAAATTCAATTGTAGAGAAAAATAGGGAGTTGCCTTGAAACAACCCAACATCTACTATCTCAAAGATAAACAATTTTCAATTCAGAATTCACCTGCAAACCCTACATTGTTTTTATGTTGCAATGTAAAATACACTCTGATCCAAATGCCCTAGTTTCTTGCCAACTGTATTTTTCCCAATTTTAGGCACAAAATAAATACAATTATTACTGAATAATACAGTGTTTAAAATATAAAATATGTGAGGGTTGGAAATTCAGCCCTGTGTTTGATGAGGGGTGAATCGTGGTTTTCCTTGGAGTACACCTTATGATTAAGTAAAATAAACCTGAGGTAGATTCTAAGAAAACACATTTTTATTGTAAAATAAATAACAAACAAACTTACTGGCTAATAACTACATTCTGGTAAAGTTCCTAGCCTACCTCCTCGAGAAAGAACAAAAGGGACATGCGTAGTAGCTTACAGAGAAGATTGAGCCTACCGTATGTCTTAGAATATAAGCACAGCTGGCAAAATAAAAAAACATCGTGACAAAATATACATGAATCCATCTTATTCTCCCAAAAACTCAGTTCCAGTAAATCCAAGACTAGTCCATTGCAATCATAAATAGCAGAAAATATTTCCCCAAGTCAAAAAACTGTCTACAGATAATTTCTAATATATATTAATTGTTAGGATCAGAAATCTGATTACAAATCTTTTAGAAGAGATACAAAGGACAGAAGTATGAAGTTTTTACATTTATCTATCAGGATTCTGCTTTCATCAAATTCATTAACTTTTATATTTCGTTTTTAAAAAAATATTAATGTAATCACCATGCAATCATTTCTATCATTTCTATTTTATACTAAATCAAATGTTAATGTTATACTTTAAAAAAAAAAGGAACAGAAATATTAATACTGTGTTAATAAATAGCTATTTTCTACTTTAGATAAATTTGTTCCAGTTTGATTCCAACTGTCCAAATCATTGTATTGATTTGACTTGTTGGTTCTATTCAGAAAATCAATTCAATGTGGACATCAGGATTTATGACCCATTTTATGCAAATTAATTTGAGCACTAACACCAAGTGTGTATATGTGCAGTCTTTATGATAAATCCAATTGCAGATACTAATTCAATTTGCTGTTTGCAGTAAATTTTCTCTTTAGTTTGAAAGAAAAATGTACATTGGTGATTCAAATATCACACATGCCTAATTCTATATTTAATTAGTCCAATTTTATGAAAAATGATAACTATGATCTTACATTTCATTGGCTTTTCTTTTGATGAGATGTATGTTGTTGACCTGCAGGTACAGGGCCTTTTCATCCACCGTCACCATTGGCAACCACTGAAAGTGTCTCACCTGGCCTAAGAGCTGCACATAAATTACCTAGACACAGGCCACTAAACAGAACCCAGTCTGCTCCCCTCCCCCAGAGCACCTTGGCTCAACTTGTCATTCAACAACAGCATCAGCAGTTTCTGGAGAAGCAGAAACAGTACCAGCAGCAAATTCACATGAACAAAGTAAGTTTTTATGAGTGCAATACATGACAGAGCGCAGTAAAACACATATATTCAAGACAAAAATGGCTAGATATAAGTTCAATTTATAGGAGAGGTACTTTTACTCATTTTAAAAAAAATCATTGCCAAGTATCAGAATTTTCTGTGAGTGTGATTATACAACAGCATTTTTGGCTTAATGATATAAAAATATTAACAAATCTTTTTTGCAACATCCCTTTTATGTCTGCAAGTGCTTTTGAAAGCAGATCAGAACTCAATTAATCATCACTTTCTATTTCACCTAAACAAGATTGTAAGTATTGAAAAAAGCCAAGATTTCAATCACATTAATAGAATTCTGCTTTATATTCATGCATGCATTAGGGAGAATGGAAACAGTAATCCAAGGCTAATGTATAGTTCCACTTATTAAGCTGAGATTCGATAGTTCATATATAGCCTACATATTTTCTAAACAGGCCGTTATGCATGATGTTACACAACAGAAACAGTTATTTTAATTTACAACAAGGCATAAAATTAACAAGTAGTCCCATTTTAAATGTAGCGCACATTCATTGGCGCTACATAAGGGCCTATACATTTTTTGTTACAATTAAAAAGACTAATGATCAGAATATAGTTATTCATTGTCATCATTTATCTATTATATGATCATTTTATGTTATAGTTTTGAATGATAGAATATTTTGTAATGTATTTTATACATCTACTTCATGATTTTAACACATCATATGTTTTTCCTATAGAAGTTTATTTAGGCAACTTCTAGGATTCCTGAGTACAAATTATTTTTTCTCTTTTTGTGATAGTAGATATAATCATATGACAAAAATAAATTCAAAATATGTTACATCCATCTCACTAGGTAATTCCCCCCCTCTCTTGAGCTACTGATTATCTTAGGTTATCTTTCATTCCTATTATTCTATGTTCTTAAAATTCCCAATCAAATTAGAAACACAACCTGGATTTTAACTATATAGTTTATACAGTGGTTTGATTATTAAATCTCATTTTAATTAGGAAAAATGAAGACTAGAGAACTTCAAAGTTTAGATCTGATCCTTGCATGTTAACCTCTCTCAACTTGGATGTTTTGATTACTCAACTTCAACTCTACTGGGCTTTTCATTTACTATGTGTTCCATATGTTTAATCAAGATGGCATTGGTATATCTTGAACTTCCTAGGTTTTTCAATATATTTTGCTATCATGTAGTTGCTTGAGGAAAAGCAATCTTTTATTACTGTTTGAAAGACAAAATCTCTCTGATATTTTTCCTCAAGAAATACAGCATAATGATTAGCTGCATTTCATGTTTTTTCCATAAAAATTGTTTTCAATTGATATTGATTTCTTATGTTTTCAGGCATGTTATTAGTTCTGTTATATTAATTAATTAAGATAATTATTATAATAATCCAAACCACTGTAAGATAAAAACTTCTTCATTGAAGGTTGGTCTGCAATGTAACCAACCCAGCTAGTCTAGTGAAAGAATAGAAGAGAAGAGAATTCAATTCTTTATTGGCCAAGTGTGATTCGGCACACAAGGTATTTGTCTTTGGTGCATATGCTTTCAATGTACATAAAGAAAAATAAAATACATTTATCAAGAATCATAAGATATAATACTTAGTGACAGTCATAGGTTGCTAATAAGCAATCAAATCATACTAGGAAGTATAAAAAGAATAAGAGTAATACAGTCTTTCTAAATAGTCTTACCAAATAATTTGACAGTATTGTGGGAATTGGTTGTTTAGCAGTATGATGGCATTCAGGAAAAAAACTGTCCTTGTGTCTAGTAGTTCTGATGTGCAGTGCCCTATATATAGTGTTGTTTTGATGGTAGAAGTTGAAATAATTTATGTCTAGGATGTTAGGCGTTTGTAGATATTTTTCACAGCCCTCTTTTTGACTTGTGCAGTATACAGGTCTTCAATGGAAGGCAGGCTGGTAGCAATTGCTTTTTTCTGCAGTTCTAATTATCCGGTGAAGTCTGTTTCTGTCTTGTTTGGTTGCAGAGCCAAAGCAGACAGTCATAGAGGTGCAGATGACAAATTCAATAATTCCTCTTAGAGCTGAATCAGCAGCTCTTTGGGAAGTTTGAGCTTTCTCAGTTGGCACAGAAAGAACGTACTTGGTTGTGCTTTTCTGAAAACATTTTTGATGTTAGGTGTTCATTTTAAGTCTTGAGATATGATAGAACCTAGAAATGTGACGGTCTCTACTGTTGATACTGTATTGTCTAGTATTGTAAGAGGTGGTAGTATAGGAGGGTTTCTACCACCATTTCTATGGTTTTGAGTGTATTTATTTCAAAATTGTTCTGATTGCACCACAAGGCTAGTTGTATGCAGATTTATTGTTGTCTCAAATGAGACCAATCACTGTTGTATCATCTGCAAACTTCAACAGTTTAGCAGATGGATCTTTTGAGATTCAGTCATTGCTGTATAGAAAGAAGATAAGTGGAGAGAGTACACAGTCCCGGGTGGGAGGGGAAGCTCCCGTGCTAATTGTATAGGTATCTAATGTGATTTTTGCCTAGCTCCCCCTTCTGCTTCCTGTCTGTTAGGAAGCTTATGATCCATTTGCAAATATGGTCAGTTACAGCTAGCTGATTTAATTTAGTTAGAAGAATATCTGGAATGATGGTATTGAATGCTGAGCTGAAGTCTACAAAGAGGACCCTTGCTAGGTCTTTGGAGATTCAAGATGTTGTAGGATGTAGTGCAGAGTCATATTGACAGCATCATCTGTCGATCTAGTTACTCGGTAGGCAAATTGCAAGAGGTATAACAGTGAGTCTGTGATGGTTTTCAGGTGGGCCAGCACTAGGCTTTCAAAGAGCTTCATAACTGCAGATTTTAGAGCAACCTATCTGAAATCATTGAGTTCCTTGATGGAGGATTTCTTCATAACTATGAAGTCGATGAATCCTTTATAGTTTTCTTCTCAAGAATTGAGGGAGAATGATTTATCTAGATTGCTTCTATAACTAAATGAAGACTAGAATATGAATCTTCCCAGTTAAAGAACTTAATCCAGTTCTTTAACTATTATATCACACAGACATTCATAGCCATATACAGCCATCTAGAAATGCAACATGGTCTGCCAAATGCAAAATAATATTTCCTGGTTTTTATAGTTCCAAGTGGGAAGCCAAAGTAGTTCTAATAATAAATCCTACTATTTTCTATTAATAAAAACTGGAAAAACTATATTATTATAGATTTCCCCCAGTAAGAATATTTTTTGTATTTTCAATGTTTAAAAAGTATTTGATCCAATTATATTTCTCTTATAATCAGTTCCAGATATAAACCAACACAGTGATTCAAATGATAACTACAAAAACTAACAGAGACCAAAAAACACAGATTTCTTTGGAATATTTCTACTATTAAAAAAAAAGAAACAAGTAAATTGGAGCAGCAATATTTCAATTTAGTGAAAGGAAAAAAAAAACCAGATAGCTTCTTCTGTCATGTTTCAGAAACCCATGTTTTGATGTAGGAAACATTATCCCTTCTCATTGGAGGTTTATACCTATGGGATGCAATACAGTGACCTTCTCAAAACATTTTAGCTGAGATGCAAATTTTGACATCTCATCTAGAAGTCAGCAGAGAGTCTTGCCCTCACTTTCTGAAAAATGGATGTGTGGAAACCTGAACTCGGCTTCCTATTTAAAGATACTTTGCTGTTGCCAGATTTAATATAATTCTATCAAGATGACAGCTTGTTTCCTTCTAGAGTCCTTTGATCATAATTTTAGAACTCCATTCTGCCCAATAAAAAGAACAGGATTCTGGCAGTTCCAGTTAAACAAATTGTCACAGGTATCAAAAAACTGACACTGCAATAGAACTTTTACTGTTTCAAGTATCTCTGATGTAAAAGATGCCATTCCTATTACACCATGCACACTAAACTATTTTAAGTCATCTGAAATATTAAAAATAAAATCTGCCAGGTCCCATATTTGTTTTCCCCCGTAGCCAACTATTTTCCCCAAATAAACTTTCAAGCAGTAATTACTATAGTGCTTTACTACTTTAGTACCTAGCATTAAGGGGCATAGTGCCTCTGATCTAGGGCATAAAATATAGTCAGGATGACTAATAACCATTAGTTGTTATTTTATCATTTTTTTAAAAAATGATTTTTGTTTTTGTTAGTTGCAAAGTTGTGTCCGAACCATTGTGACCCCATGGACAACGTTCATCCAGTCCAGTGGTGGGTTTCAAAAATTTTTAGAACCTATTCTGTAGGTGTGGTCTGTTTTGTTGGAGTGGCTTGGTGGTCATGTGACCAGGTGGGAGTGAAAGTGATCATGTGACTGGGTGGGATTAGTTTGACTGAGTGGCAGTGGCAGTGGCAGTGGCTTGGCAGTTATGTGACCAGATGGGAGTAACTTGGCAGTTATGTGATCGAGTGGGAGTAGCTTGGCAGTCATGTGACTGGGTGGGAGTGGCCAAATTGTTGTCACTGAATTCTTTGCCCCAAAGAATGACCTACAAAAAGAAGATATAAAAAAAGAAAATTTATTATTTTGTGCACTTACTACTTAAATAAGAATAAAATAAGTACATAAAAAATAAAACAGCTACTTACAGAGGAAATATAGCTGCCCACGCCAGCCTTCAACATTACTGACCATCTTACACACACTCTTCCAGCCTCTCTCCCTCTTTCCTCTTCCTGGATTCACTCAGACATTTTTAAAAACCACAGCCCACACACTTCCAGCCTCTCTGCCTCTTCCCTCTTCTTGGATTCACTCAGACATTTTTAAAACTCACAGCCTGTGCACATGCACAGACTTCCAGCCCCTCTGTCTCTTCCCTCTTCCTGGATTCACTCGTTTTTAAAAGAGTGGAAGAGTGTGTTCATGTGCACAGGTTGTGAGTTTTAAAAATGTCTGTGTTAGATCGGCAGCAATACAAAAGAAGAAGAGGCATCTGAGGTAACCTTCAATAAC